TTAAATTTTGGGGGACGCCCCCCCTCTCGCCCCCAAGAGACTCGATGCCACGTTAGTGCCCACCGTAAGATTCCGCAGCGGGCAGCTAAATAGTCGTTTATGTCTTGTTTCACTAAGCGCGACAACCTTTCCTTCTAATATCTCGGCCGGTTTCTATGTGGGTCAAAATTAAATATGGCCACCCTTCGGCTCTCAGAATGATAGGCAGTCCTCGACTTACGACAGGTCGTTTAGCGACCATTCTAAATTACAACGGTACTGGAAGAACGTGACTTAGGAGCGTTCCTCAGAGTTCACGACCTTCGCGGCCTTCCCCACGTTCCTGCGATCCAAATTCAGATGCTCAGCCTCCGACCTGTATTTATGACGGTCGCAAAGTCCTGCCCGGGGTGGCGTGGGGTCGGGTCAACCTCTTGCGACCTTCCGGCCAGCAACAAAAAATTCACTTAACATGCAGGTTACTAGCTTATCGACGGCAGGGAATCCCTTCCGCAGCTGTGGCAAGAAAGGTCGTAAAACGGGACAAAACTAATTTCACAAATGTCCCATTTAACGGCAGAAATGTTGGGGGTCAATTGGATTTTGGTGAGCTGGGAATGTAAGCTGAATTTCGATCCCCTTTTTTAAATCGAAAATGAGAAATGTCCCGGACAGTACATTGACCTGCATTTATCACAAGTGAAGGAAGATCCATTTCTAGTTATGAGCTGCTTTTTACACACTGAAGTTCTTCAGTAGAGTTGTAGCTTACACGACCGTTCCCACGAAATTTCGTGCAAATGCAAAGTCTAAGCTACAGCTGTACTGAAACTGGTAAAAGTTCTGGAGGAATCCATTTTATTTTCTTCTTTTAAACATTCCTGCACGGAGGAAAAACTCGATTCCGGCCTCGCAAGGTTAAACTTAAATTTAATTGACATTAATTTAAATTTAAGGTGACAAGTTATAGGTAAAAAATAGCTCATTTTGGGGCAGGGCGATTTGCAGGACGTGGAAAATGATCCGTCTCAAAATGTAAAATCCGCAACCTTTTCGTTCAGAGTGCCAAAGTCGAATAAGATTCAAACATTATCCACATTTTAATTTCAGTTGGGTTTCACGAGGATAAACTGGAGAAGTTGTAATCCTTTTTGAGGCACACATGTGGTTTAAATAAATACGAAAATAAAACAAAACAATTCATTTAGTGACCGTTCAAAGTTACGTCACTGAAAAAAGTGACTTGGGACCATTTTTCACACTTACAACCATTGGAACATCTTCATAGTCACGTGATTTACATTCGGATGCTTGACAACTCACATTTATGACGGTCGCAATGTCCCGGAGTCACATGACCACCTTTTGCAACCTTCTGGACTAGCAATATCAATGGGAGAAGCCAGATTCACTTAACGACAGTGGTACTAATTTAGCAATGGCGGTGATTCACTTAACAAAGGTGGCAAAAAAGTCATTTAAAAATGGGGCAAAACTCGCTACACAAACTTCTCACTTAACAACATCAGTCCTGGGCTCAATTGTGGTCATATGTTGAGAACTACCTGTACAGAGGTGTCCAACCTTGGCCGCTTTAAGACTTACGGACTTCCACTCCCAGAATTCCCCAGCCAGCTCTTTTATTTTCCGCTTTGCGGAAGTCAAGATCTATTACGCTTCCTGCATACCCTCCATCTCTTAAGAAAGTTCCCCTCTGTGGCTGGCTGGGGAATTCTGGGAGTTGAAGTCCACACGTCTTAAAAGTGCCCAAGGTTGGGGGAACCCCTGTACTAACCTTTTGCATTGAATTAGCCATGCAAAACTCTGCATTTTGGGCGCCACCAACTGACGCGTGACCTGGGTGAGGGTGTCTTATTCCCACATGGCAGAATCCTGCCCCATACCTGAGCATCCCTCTACCCATGTTGTTTCTCACAACCGCATGGGTGGGGGGAGGGAAATCAGAGGGCCGAGAACCCGAACATGCTAGTAAACAGAGGCCAATTTTATTACAAAAAGAGAGAAGATCTTGCAACTCCGGAGAAGTTGTCTGACACACACACACACACACACCCCGCTCCACCTCCCAAGAAAGGGCCATGGGGCTAACCTACCATCCCTTCGCCCACATGTTGCATTCCGCCCAGAGGGGCTGTGCAACGGCCCCCATCCGCTCCTCAGATCTCAGAGACTTAATCCCCAAACGAAAACGATTTTGCCTCTCTCCCACTCCCAAAGCTCTCCTGGGGGGGGGGAGACCACCCCGCTGTTGCCATGCCAACCTAGGAGGGGGCATTGGGGGGGGGGGAGGGGGCGGGACGCCCATGCCTGGGGGGGGCTGGGGGGGGCTTGGGGGCTGGGAGGCCCACTGAATTCCAGGGTTGTGCCTGGTCTGGAGATCTGGACACGATCTGGCCAAATCTCCCAGATGCTTTGCTGAAAAAGCTCCAGCGGCTCTTTTTAAACGCCCCGTGTTTTCTTGACGCTGCACATGGCCAGAAGCGGAGCATGTACAGAGTGCCTTTGGCTCCTCCCACGACACCCTTTTAAGGTCCTTTCAGGCTCCAGAAGTTGTGGGTGCTCCATCACTGGAGATTTTGAAGAAGAGACCGGGCAGCCATCTGTCTGAATTGGTATAGGATCTCCTGCATGAGAAATAGGGGGGTTGGACTAGAAGACCTCCGAGGTCCCTTCCAATGCTGTTATTCTGTTGCTCAAAAGTCCATGGTGTGCTTCATTTCTCGGGCACACCATGCAGAATCCATACGGAGGCCTCAACTCTCCCTTATTTTAAAATAATGTCTCTCTCTCTCTCTCTCTCTCTCTCTCTCTGCAGACGAACCCGCTCTCTTATGCACCCCCTTCGCCTCAGTCTTCCCCATCCGGATAACGGATTTTTATGGACAATGGGTGGGGGGAGGGGAAACAACTCTTGCGGGTGAATTTTATTGGTTCGGTTTATTGATTCGCTCAATATATTTGCCGCCTAGCCATGGTTCCACTCTAATTAATCCCCAGCGTTGCATTCAAGCTATAGGCAATTGCCATCCTAGCACACACAAACCACGATTGGGGAGAAGGGGATTGAAGCCTGTGGCGGGGACCTGCGGAGACAACCCACCCACCCCCGCCCAGGGGTTCAAGCCAACTTTGGGGGTACGCAGATCCTGCCCTCCTTCCTTAAGGCAACCTCTGGCTGAGTTTGGGCCCAGATGTTTATCTGACTGACTGATAACGCCCAATTTTTACTTTTTTTTTTTTTTCATTTTCTTCATTCCGTTTGTGTGCTTTTGCCCATCTCGCTGCCGGGCACGAGGGATACCCACTGACAGTGCGTGTAGGGTTTCCTATCCAAGCAGGGGGTTGGACTAGAAGACCTCCAAGCTCCCAATTCTGTGATTCTGTATGTAAAGTGTGACTCTCCCTCATTGTATCAAAATGAGATCCCCCCCCACACCGCCGGCCACATCAGCCCCTTTGTCTTTGGGCTCAGTTTTCACGCAGGCCCCCTTTTAAGAGAGCACATCAAAAAGTAAAAGGAACTATGATAGCCTGAGCAAGAAACCTTGGTTACAGTATTCAATTAGAGGGATGGGAAAATCTGTGCATTAACAGTTACAAACTAATAATGTCTACCGCCTATAAAGAAAACCTTTATAAAATGTTTTACCGCTGGCATCTAGCACTGGCAAGATTGGCAAAAATCTACCCAAATTTGAGTCCAAAATGCTGGAAATGTATGCACAAACAAGGTACCTTCTTTCATATGTGGTGGTCATGGCCCGAAGCAAGAAAATATTGGAATAAAATAAAGAATTGGATGCAGGAAATTATCGGTCCCCAAATCGAATTTAAAACGGAAATGTTATTAGGGATAATTTAGAGGAGTATTTGACAAAGGAACCAAATATATAATAATACATATATTGACGGTGGCAAGAATTGCCTGTGCACAAAATTGGAAACTAGATAATACCCCGCTCCAAAAGTGTGATAATAAAGCAATGGATTGCGCAGAGATGGTTAAATTCACATTGGAACTGCAAGATAGAGAAGATATGGAATACTGTACGGTCTGGAAAAGTGGTATAATTGGTTAGATTAAATTAATGTAAATATGTACGTTGACCGAAATGGAAATGTCAATGTCCCAGTGCTGAGAAGATGAAAGCCTCCAGGGATGAAGCTCCCACAACTTCTGAGGGCAACTTCTGTTCCATCGGTTGATGGTTCTCCCTGTCAGAAAATTTCTCCTTATTTCCAGGTTGAATCTCTCCTTGTTCAGTTTCCATCCATTGTTCCTTGTCTGGCTGATCTTGTCTGATTAATCTACCCTTAGTCCCAAATCAGGAGGAATTTGGAAGTGGCTTTTTACGACCCTTGGATTTAGTTCCAAGGTGGAAAAATTCCACAGTGGATGAGCCAGGAAAAAAAGTGTTCCCAGTTTCCTCTTGATGATCACTGAATTGTTTCAGCTTCTACCCTCAAAATGACGCACTGCACACCAGAACAAATAGATATAAGGAGTTTTTTCCCACGTGCCATCACTCTGCTAAACAACTAACTCTCACAACACTGTCAAACTGTTTAGTAAGGCTATCTCACTTTTATTATTCTCATCCTTCCTATTACCTATCTCCCTTTCTACTTTTGTTGCTTGTATCTTTACGATTTCTGTTGTTTTCGTTAGTTTCCTGGTATGGTTTTGTTTGCTTATTTAGTATCCTATGACTATCACTAAGTGTTGCATCTCTTTGATTCCTGATCAATGTATTTATGATGATTATGATCATGACTGACCACTTACAGCTTTTGTGTACATTGAGAGGTTATGCACAGGAGACAAACTCCTTGTGTGTCCAATCACACTTGGCCAATAAAGCTACTCTATTCTGTTCTATTCTACTCTACTTTATTCTATTCCTGTTTTTTATTCTATTCTATTCCTGTTTTTTATTCTATTCTATTCCTGTTTTTTATTCTATTCTAATTCTATATTTTATTATTCATTCTATTCTGCTCTGTTGTTCTATTCTAATCTAATCCTATGTTATTATTCATTCTATTCCTATTGTATTCTATTCCAATTTCTATTCTATTCTTTTATTCTACTCATCTTAGTTGCTCTTCCTGCCATTTTTCCAGTCTTCCCATCCTTTTTTTTTGTAACGTCGGAATGTCCACTCAGACCTGGAGCAAAGGTACCGCCGCGCCCACGTGCCCAGGCGAACTTTTGCAGCCCCTCCCTCCAAACCTTTGGGACGGGAGGAGAGGTTTTCAAGCCCGGGACCGGGGGCCTCAGCCTTTCCCACCTGGAGCTGCAAGGGGGTTACCTCGCCCCCTCCCTAAATCCGGAGCCTTTCTGACCCACATTATGCCGCCTCCCTCCCAGTTTTGAACACCCCCCCCAAACCCAAGACCACTGACCTTGGAATGGCAGAGGAATCCAAAGCCCAAAAGGACCCCAGCCGGCAGCAGGATCAGCCCAAAGACGAACCCGGCTAGGAGAAGGTTTAGCGCACCGACTAGCAAGTTTTGCAGAGTGACCAGCACGGCGCAAGCCCAGCAGTCCAGGGAACCTCGGAGTTCCAGAGCCCCCTCCCCGGCATAAGGAGGGGGGGTCAGGGGCGAGGTCCCAGGGACCCCCTCGCACTCCAGGGACCCCGGCCCAGGCTTAGGGGAAATCAGGTCTAAGCTCATCCTGGCAGTGTGACTTCTTCGTGCTTTCTCTCTCTCTCTCTGGCCGGAGATGGGTTTATAGGCGCCCCCCCTTCCCCCCCCCCCCCCCCCCAGGATAAGCTAGGAATGCAGACACACACACACACACACACACACACACACACACACAGAGTAGAAGTCACGAAGCACCAGCGCTAGCCAACTTCCCGCTCAACTTCCAGCTGCAAAAGCCGACCCTTCCCCAGGATGCTCCTTAAGAGGCAGAGCCCCTCCCAGCAGGGGGTCTCCCTCCCCCTCCCCCTCTGAATTCCAGAGATGCCTCCCTCGGCCTCCCCCCTGCCCGAAATGGCACAGACACCCCACCCCTTGGGCATTAGGGCCAGATGTTTCTGGGGGGGAGGGAAGAGAAGACAACCCACTTTTAAATCTGGGGGGTGGGATTAGAACCCATCCGGAGATGCCCCTTAAATTTTGGGGTCCTGGGGTTAATTGGGGGAATAGGAGTGGGTCCTCCCTCCAACCCACCCAGCCCAGTGTGGGACCCCCGAAGCAGAGAGACATCCTCACTGCACTGGAAATCAATATTTTCCAGGTTGAAAAGGGCTGTTTCTCCTTCC